GATTTCCATCGATAGATAGTGAATTTCGTTTCTATTGAGTGTTGTCAAGTGTTTGCAAATGAAACAGATTGAACAACCTGTCTCTTTTTGCTTAGATTAAAAAAAGAGTCCACTTTCTTAAATTGCGTTAACTTTAATGTTTTGAAGATTATTGCTTTTATTGAGTGGCCGCTGCTGTTATCTAGGTTGTTCTAATTTCTCTACTATACTACCTATTGTTATCCGGATTAGTTGGAATCAAAATGTGTTTAATATGAGATAAATTTACTTATCAGCTTCTAGAACAATTATCACTTCGAACAATGGGACTGTTTTTTGGACTATTTTTGGGACTGTTTTGTATGGGACTGTTTTTTTGTACTTTGCTATGTTTTTTCGGACTGTTTTGTATTGGACTGTTTTGTATGGGACTGTTTTGTACAGACACGGGCTAGACTATTCCGCCCTATTCCGGTAAAACCCTGACTATTCCGACTGGCTCTCTATCGTCTATCGAAATCTAATAAAAATTTACAATGAAAGCAAATTGCTTGCTGTTCAGTTTGGAAGGACTTAATTTGCCGCTTACGCTTTAATAGAAAAATATATCGCGCGTTAATTGTCCCAATTGGAATTTTAGTAGTCAAAATAGCCCCAAATTCGAACATTTTTTTTGTGAAAAAGGATCACAGGTGAAATATCTTTTTAAAATTGAGCTCTAGATAACAATGCTTTTCAGATTATATGAAAAATTGTCGAATTTGTGTTACACTTTAATCATTATAGATAAAGTCTTCAAAGTATTAAGCAAGTAGTTAAAATGGTTTCATAGTGCATTTAGGATAATGCGGCGTACCAGATCCGCTCGGCAGCACGTAGATTCCAGGTACGATCCCCTACTTAACTAATTTTACTAATTTTAGGAACAAAATATTTACCGCAAGCGTATATTTTCCTCACTCTCTTTAAAAGTCAGAACAGTAACTCAAGCTATTAACTATGATCAGTAAGAGTTGCTGAAAAGAAAGATTCTTTTAAATGAATGCATCCCGTTACTTCTCCTTGAGAATGCTTTTAAAGATAAAGCATGCACTCTTCTCCTCCTCCTGCGAGAGAAATTTAAAAAGAATTTTGCCCTCAAAAATGGGAGTAGTCGAAACATACTGTGCTAATTGCAGAAAAACCAGCTGGGTGCTTGTATCCTTGGTTCAATTGCATTAGTTTTTTTTTGTTCTCAAGTGTTATTAAACAGCTGAGAAATCTTGGCACTGCAATACGGTTTTGGTTTTCTTGACAACAAAAATTAACAAGACTTCTCGTATCAGGGCGAAGCCCTGAAAGTTCCGACTGCCTTTTAACGTTTGTGGAGCAGTAATAACATAAACAACATTTTAAAAAATTCAATGAAATAAAAAAAAAATTCTAAAATTTGAAAAATTTTTCTATAAAAATCATCCCCCCACACGCCATATAAAGTACAAAACAATAGGTTTCGCTCCTTGGAACAAATCAATTATGGCAAATAAGCTTCTTACAACTAATTTGGAACGATTTCTAAGACGGATTAACTCTCCGTTTACGCGTTAATAGCGCGAAATATATCGCTCGTTAATTGTCCCAAATTGGCCAAAATGGCAATCTTTAAACCCTCATAACTTTACGAAAAACAATCACAAGTGAAATATCTTTTCAAATTTAAGCTCAGGACAACAATACCTTTTGAATGATATAAAAAAAATTCTGTCAAAAATGGCTAGTTAAAAAGTCGAAATTTGTCTGAAGAAAAAAAAACCCACCCCGAGCACAAATATTCCGTTACTTTCGTACCGAAAGTCGGAACAAAAATAGTCGCAGACAAACAAACCCTTGAACAATAAGTACATACCACAGTATACGCACCAAAAATATTAAGATTTGAAAATCGCCTTTTTGGCACATTTTGACTGATTAATTGGCCTTTTGTATTTTTTTTCAATGTCGAATGAATAGTGGGCGAACTGATCAGTAAAAAGAATAACTCTAAAATTCTTGATAATGCCGGAATAGGATTTCAAATAGTCAACCGACTCTTCAAAAAAACAGTTTTTTTTTGAAATTTTCATCGACTGTCTATGACCAAATTTTTTTAAGATTTTTTTTCTGACAGTCAGAGGAATCATTGCAATGCCCCAATATAATAAGTTTTGTTTGTTAACTAACGTGCTCCGTGTTTTGGGAAAAATAGGTTATTTAAAAAAAATTAACTACTTTTGATTTTTTTCCATGGCTGCCCTGCAAAGCCTAGCGGTGGTATTTGAACCAGCCGAAGTATAAACCAGCTGAAGTATCAACCAGTCGAAAATACATAAATGTTTCATAATTTTTTTGCAACAACTAGTTAACAGTTTTGAGGGTATGCTAATTTCATTCATATGATGAAATTTATCTGCTGCTTTGATACTCTGCACAAGTTCTGTTGGTTTATTTACCTTCAGAATAGCGACTATGGAATTTTTTTTCAAATTCAAAAATATTACTTTTTTACTCGCTTACTCTCTTCTGTCAGATACTAAATAAATTCATAATTTTGAGAGCAATTCAATTTGACTAATCGAGCTGTATTTATACCAAAAAATGAAATTAAAATCAAGCAAGCTAAAATGCTTAAATTGACACTTCGATTCAGTAATTGAGATATTGGTACCTAACTGTTTTTGATACCTAACTGTTTCAGAAATGCATGTGCTTTCTGTGAAATTTTTTTCTCAAACGGGAACAAAGGAGCAAATGGCCAAAGAAACAAAATGAACAGGATGTTTTAAAAAAGTTATCAGAAACCAGTATTGAAGCATCGAATGAATTAATCGTGAAAATCGGTTAATTTTTACAACTTAAAGGATGTGTTTTGGTTCAAATACTTGGACATTTGGTCCTTCTGCCACCTGAGAGTAGCCTCGTTAATATTCTAATTGGATCAATTGCGTCAATACAACTAAACATCAAAAAGTGCACCCATTAATTGAAAATTTATCATTTTAAAAAAATCTAATTTGAGGTTAAAAGAAGGAATTTAAAAAAATTAAAAAAAGTCAGAGGTTCGACTGACGCCGCGCAATCGACTGACATTAACACTTTTGTTTCCCTGTTATTTTACACCTGGTCTCGATTATACCCTAATCGATTCGCTTCAAAAGCCAATGCAATCAATATGAGATGAGCTGAATTTATCACTATGTGCTTCAATTTAGAGACGTATTTTTACTTTTTCCACTACCAAGTAAAGTGTGCGACTTGAGCAGCGCATTTCCAAGAGTATCAGACAGTATTTTAATTAAAGATTGTGCTGTACAATGTATTGTTTCGCGTTAATTCAGAAAATGGGACTAAAACATATTGCTTTTATAAAAAATTTGCAACAAAAGTAACTTGAACTCAAATCTGATAGAATCAAGCTGATATTTATACAGAATCCGGCTGAGGTATTCATCTTCGACGTGCTCTAAAAACTCAATGAATATTTAAAACTGGCAGCTTCTGTTTTCGATAAAATTGGTCTTATTCAAAAATTCATTTTCAACTGTTCTTGCTGTTGCTCCAAATCAACCAAGTTTCTCCAAGTTCAAACTTCAGGAGTAGAGCTCAAAAAATAAAACCATATTGCTCATTTATCAGACGGAAAAACTGAATGTTCCGACTGCACTTAAAGGTCAATTTGAAACTTTTTTTGCTTGTAAAGTTGCAAAACTATCGAAAAAATTTACAAAAAAAGTTCACAAGCTATGCAAATTACGAACGAAGTTCTCGTGTTCTAGTTTAAAAAACAAATGACATGCCGCAATTCAAGCCGCCGCTTATGCGTGGTAAAGAACGCAATTTATGTATACCAAAATTGTCAAATTAGCTATTTTCAAACCCCTAAAAACTTTACAAAAAATAATCTCAAAAATTATATTTCAGCTCCGAACAACAATATTTTCCAGATGATAATATATAATAACATCCGTCAAAAATGCTAAAAAGTCAAAAACTGACTGTAAAAAAATACCAGTAGAAGAATTAATATTCCGCCACCGTCTCCGAAAGTCGGAACAATTATCACATGATGAGATGATCCAAAGAAATATTGAGGTCAATTATGGTTTTGATGAGAATAAAAAAATGTTATTCTACAATTGAGTTCTTTCAATTCGCCGACATTTTAAAATGACAAACTTATACTAAAAAAAGCTGCATTAATTTTTTCATTTCTGTTAAAAGAAAAGTTTCAGAGGAATTAATTTTAGAACCCAATTATAGATGATCCAAAGAAATATTGAGGTCAATTATGGTTTTGATGAGAATAAAAAAATGTTATTCTACAATTGAGTTCTTTCAATTCGCCGACATTTTAAAATAACAAGATTATACTTAAAAAAGCTGTATTAATGTTTTCATTTTTGTTAAAAGAAAAGTTTCCGAGGAATTAATTTTATACACCAATTATAGATATTGCAAGAAGTTGACGGGAATTCATTCATTTTTTTATGTTTTTTTTGCAAATTTTTTTTTTTTTCGCCTTTGAGTATTTGAGAGCAAGAAGAGCAAAAAATTGCAACTTTTGGACAAAACATTTGAAAAGTGCTCCAAAACGTACTTCTGGGTCGCTTTTTCTGAAAAGCTTACAACAAATGTGACAATACGAGACAACTCGCAAATCCTCCGGAAGACAATCAATTACTACGTTTCAAAATTATTTAAAAACGTGGCATCCAACCCCTCCCCCTCCAGGGTAAAAAATGTTATTTTGTTTCAGAAATTTAATTGGAGAAGCCAAACTGGGTTCAATTGATATTTTATTTGAAAAAAAAAGACAAAAATTCAATTTGGGTGATGAAAAGGTTTCAGATGTCATCCCATGAACAAAATTTTTTAAGTTCCTTTTATTTGAAATGCTCGCTTTATACGGAATTAATTCAGACTTCATTCAAGGCTAGCGACAGAATTTACGGTGACTGTTCGGATAGTCAACATTTATGAAATTTGTTTTTTTTTTGTCGTTTCAGGCGCAAGAGAGCAGCGCTAACGAGAATGCACAATCGATGCTCAATCTACAAGATGCGTTGAAAGACCTCAAGCACAACTACCAACAACAGGTACAAATCAGATTCAATCCTCAAACTTATTATATTGTTTGTGGTCCGAAGGCGTTTTTGGGAAAATCTTTGGGTTGGTTGGGCAAAACAGAGGTCATAAAGTACTAAAGAGGAGAGAGACCAAGTGGGTGATTTGGGATCGAATACCTGAAGAAGAAGGGGCGTCCCCCAAACCCACTCCTTCTATTATCATCTCGTCATCCCTATATCATAAAACAAATGAAATTATTCTTTCTTTGCTTTAAATTGATCTGAAGGTCAAAATTATTTGGGCCATTTTTTTCTCAGTTCATAAATTGTCCGGAATATTTTCACTGATCAAATCGGGCAGAAAGACTTTCTTAGACCAAATATGTCGCCTACTTGTGGTACGTTAATTTGGTCAGGAAAAATCAGAATGCGAGTTTTCTCTTCTTCTGGAGCATTTCCGGTTGCTGTCAACATACCAAGGAGATTTGAGTTAATTTAATCGGCGGGGAGTTAAATTACTTCCAGAGCTTACCATTTCAAAGTTTTTAAACAATATTTTTTTCCTTTGTCATATCACCATCAAAATATGACTGAAAAAATTTCATGGGCTAGATACCCAATCCCCTACAAAACTTTTATGCCGGACAAAATAACACAAAAAGCTTAACATCAAAAAATTTTTATAAAATTTTAAGAAACGAAATTTCTAACATCCTGTTATGGAGGAGATGATGAAAAAACGAGGCAGTTTTAATTTATGCCAGCCCAGCAAAAAGCCGACTGTCGTGCATGTGTGACAGAATTGTCGGTCACAGCCCCCGAGAAAAATAAACAGAAACCGAAGAGTACTGTTTAAAAAGTTTTATCAAGAATTTTTTTGACTTTTTTATTTATATAGCTGGAAACAGAAAGAAAGTCATATAAGCTTACTAATCAATGGAAAATAGCTTGAGAATGAGTAAAAAAAACATTGTTAATGTTTAAATTACCGTCTTCGATTAATTGTAAAACAGCGAAGTGGCTGTGATTTATGAAGGTCGCAACAATTTTTTTCACCTTTTTCAAGAAAAAATCGTAATATTTATTCATGCTCAATTTTGATTTTTCGCGGTTTATTTTGATTGGTTGTAAGCTTCAGTTTATTTTCTTTGTCATAAAACACTCAACGCGTAAAAAATCGAACACTCTTAATAAAAGATGAAACAAAACAGTTTTCTCTAAAAATTGAGATAAGTTTCGGGGAAGAAAATGCCGTTCCTACCCATTTCTTAGAACTCAGAAAAGCTTTCGGATGATATAATGTTTACTTCAAAATTTGATAGTTCAAAGTTTTTCAAAATTGACTGTTCTAATTTTTGCGAAATAAAATTCTCTTATTTTTTCCCGATTGACAGATTTTTTTACATTTCTTTTTTGGCTGGTCAAACACGGTTAAAAACCACCTCCATTTGATGCATCTCTCAATTCTATCTTTAAACTCAGTTTTTTTAGTTCCCTGTGTCAAAAACTTATTATAATACAAAATAATGATAAAATTGTAAACATTTAAAATTTTAATGGTAATAATTAGAAAGTTGAAACAGAAAAACTAATTATAATAGAAATCATAGTACGAATCTTAAGAATGTCAATCAGCATGGCAATTTACGATAACAATCAAAATCAAAATTATACTGCTACAAGTGTCATAATCGGAATAAAAATTATCCCAGTAATCATGATAACCCTAATCTTCAGAAAAAATTCTTATGGAATTAGTCATAATAAGATCACTAAAAAAATCCGTGATACTGATAAAAAAAACTTGGTCAGTTGTTTTGTAATTAGAAGAACCAATTACGGCCACAATATTTTAAAAAAATATCAAAAACGTGTTAGTTTCTTTTTTTGTTAATTCTGTCATTTTTTTTTACTGTCGTACGATGAGATAATCTCAACGAAAGTCTGAAACTTTGATGAGCAAAATAGCCGCTACTTTAATGAACTTGAATGAACAAAATAGCCGTTATTGACTTATTTCTTCTAAACTGCATAGTGGCAGAGTGGGCAGTTAACGCAATATCTCTATGTCCAAAAATCTATTTGCTTGTTTTTTTTGCAAAAAATTCGGTCAATGAAAATGAATCAACATCTTATTTCAATATTTTGAAGAACACTTGTAAAATATTTGTTTGATTTAAGTATTCATTGAAAAATTATAATTACACTATTACTTTTGTAGTCTGAGTTTTTCGTTGACGATTTATTCATTTTGTTTTCTCGCTGGTCTATCCAATTTGAAGTTAAAACTGTTTTTTTTGAGCTGCTTAATTTTTTGAACGCTGAATTGCTCTAGATAATTAAAATGCTCATTTTGAACATTTAATTTAGAGTGCGTTAGGTTGATCCACAATTGACTTTTTTGTTCATTTTTTACCTTTCAATTTGACGTATCCTGTATCAGTAAATTTTTTATCTTTCGAGTTAAGTATTATTCTGCTGTTAAAAAATCAAAGCAAAATTTCACACTTCTACCGTCAGTGGTATTTTTTGAAGTAGAAAACGGATATAATTTCAAAACCAATTTACAAAAATTTTACCGATAAATTGAAAACGTTTCAAAATTGTCAGTCATGAAAATTTCATTTGATAGTCATAGTAATTTAGATTAAATCAACAACAGTTTTTTTTTCAAAAACTGAACATGATGTTTCTTTCTGAATTTTTAATTTTTTGCAGCAATTTACTTTGAAATTTTTTGGATTTTTGAAAATCTCAATCGCGGTGAAATACTTCTACTGGGATGAAACTCATTGCTGATGTAAAAGGTTCATGGCTGATGTGGAATATAATACTGGAACATATATCATAATCGGGAAAAAAATCATCATAATCATGGCATAATAATCATGATAACCCTAATCATCAGAAAAAATTGAGTCATAAAAAGATCACTAAAAAAATCATGATACTGATCAAAAAAAACTTCGGTTGCTTTGCAATTAGGAGAACCAATTACGGCCACAATAACAAAACAAAAAAAATTGTTTCGATGTATCCTGTATCGAAAATCTTTGCATCTTTTGAGTTAAGTCCTATTCTGCTGCTAGGAAAAACATCCAAGCAAAAAATCAAATATTTAGCGTCAGTGATACATCAAAATTTTGCCAATAAATTGAAAGTGTTTCAAAACTGTAAGTCATGAAAAGTTCATTTGATAGTCATAGTACTTTAGAATAAATTGACAACAGCTTTTCTCAAAAACTGAATATGAAGTTTTTTCTGATTTTTCAATTTTTTGCAGCAATCTACTTTAAAAATTTTTGAATTTTTTTATTCTCATGTACTTCTTTTGGAATGAAACTCAGGTTTCACGGCTGATGTAAAAGGTTCTTATTGTTTATAAACCTGTTTGCTGGCTTCATTTGCTCGAAGTTGAATCAATTTTTTTTTAAATTCAACCGGTTTTTCTCGACTCTGATAGTTTTTTTAAAAATTGCTTAAGGTTCAAATTACGACTGAAAGAGCTTTGAAAGGTTTTTACATTTGACCCCTTTTAGTGAACAGAAAAATAACAACAATGAATGTAAAAAATGCAATAAAAGCAACCAAATTGAAAAGTGTGTGAAAATAGCTGATTGAAATGAAAAACTACAGAAACTCCCACCGCGGCCATTTTGCAAAAAAAAATTGGAAACACATTTTTGGCGAACTAGCCCTAGAACTGAATGATTTCTTCTTAATGCAGTTTGGGCAGTTAACGCAATATCTTTATGTCCAAAGATCCATTTGCTTGTTTTGTTTTTGGTCAAAAACTTCCCGTACAGGTTCATAAAGCAACAAGTCACTAGAAAGTTTTGAAGAACACTTGTGAAAGCTACTTTTAAGAAATTTTCGTTGATTTTAGTTTTCCAAGAACAATTATTTTAGCCCTTTTTAGTCAGAGTTTCTCGTTGACCATTGATACATTTTGTTTGTCTCAATGGTACATCCAGTTTGACCTTAAAACTGTTTTTTTTTCTGAAATGCTCAATTTTATTCGAGCTCAAAAATTGCTCTGGATATCTTAGTTGCTCATACAAACATATAATCTAGAATGCGTTAGGTTGATACATGATGGACGCTTCCTTTCATTTCGACCAATCACTTCGACGTATCCTGTATCAGAAACAACTTTTTAGATTTTGAGTTATGTAATAATGTAGTGCTAGCAAATTAAAACAAAAGTTTGACATTTTCGGCGTCAGTGGTACTTTTTGGCGCAAAAAATGATGGAATTTTAAAACCAATTCACTAGAGTTTGGCGGATAAAATGAAACCGTTTGAAAACTGTCAGCCATAAAAGAGGAGCGTTAATATTAATAATAAAATAAATTGAACTGGAACGGAAGCAGAAGCGGATAATGGATGCTCGCTAGAGGCGGAATTTTCAAAATTTTACTGACTTTTATTAATTTTTGAGCTGAAAAAGTTTTTTGGCCATTAATGGATGTCTTAAGATACTAAAACGAAGTCAGTTTTTTGTTATCAAAGTTTTCGGGGTTCTACGGAGCATTCTCCCCCCCCCCCCCCGCGCTGCCCCCCTAAATTTGCTACTGAAAATCAGCATTTTGAAATCTTTGTGTTGTATGTGTTCGATGATTTGAACGTTCAGAAGCGCCTTTTCTCTATAATTAGCTTCCGTAAAAATTAAGTTTATCTTTTAAGAAAAAGAGCATTTTTAGTCAATCAAATACAATGACCTTCTGCACGAGTTCAATCGGCTGAAATCTTCAGTTGGCGAGAGTGGGTCACCGGGTCATTCCGTGGGCGGCAACAAGACGGCGAGCGCAACTGCTGGTGGTATCGGTGTTGCCGCCACGACAGACAATCTGCTGGACGGAACAACGGCTCACTTTCCCGCCTTCGGGGCGCAAGACCTCCCCTTAGAACCAGTGCCTGTAAGACAACTTATGATTGCCTTTGAAAAATGGTTTCGCACCCTTCAACTTCCCATTGCGTTGAAAACAAAATGTGGAATATCAAGCTCGTCTCAATTTCAAATTTCTAATTTTTTAAACATTTTATTTGTTGAACTAATTTTAAAAGAACGATAAAAAATATAATCACCTTAAAAACCTCATATTGTTCTGGAGGCAGTTTGTTTTTGGAAAAGCTAAAAAACCCGTTGGTACAATTCTTAATCCCGTTGAGAAAGTAAGTCTGATCTGACTTATCATTGGATTGACTGGAGAAATTAACTAATTCTTCGTTTATTTTTTCTCGATTAATTGCCATGAAATATTTTTTTTGGGTCCAATCAGTGGCGGATTTAGGGGGGGGGGGGTGCGGACGCTTCTTTTCTTCAGGAATTCGACCCCATGCCCACCCAAAGGTTCCCTCCTTTGTACTATTTTGAGATATCAAATTTTTGGTGAAGGACCCTTAAATTTTTCTAAAGGGGCCTTTGGCGCCAATATATACTAATGTGAGGGGGGAGCGCGTGCCGAAAAACGCGATTTTTTAGTCAAATTTTTGAAAAAGTGCCTAAAAACGCTCTTTTTGGCTTTTTTTCAAAACTATGACTGCGCCGCAGAAATTTTGACCAAAAAAGTGTCTTTGTAATGGTTTGGGAGAGCTCGGAAAATCAATTTGGTCGACCTAAAAAAATGTCGACAAAATTTTTTTGGAAAATCCGCCCCCCCCCCCCCTCCTCGAGAAAATCCTAGATCCGCCCTGGGTCCAAGGATAGTTTTGCTTTCATTTTAATTGCATTAGTTATTCAAAAATTAAGAAGAAACTGGAGATTTAATAAGGAGTGAAAAGCCTCTATAAATACTATTAATTTGTTGTAATTGTTTCAAATTTGCATATTGTTTCAAATTCTTGATCAACAGCCCATTTTATGACAGGTCACAATCTACATCGCCAAGTACAACTACGATCCCCTCAAGTACTCCCCAAACGACAACCCAGAGTTAGAGTTGACAGTTTCGAAGGGGGACTATGTCTACATCCACGGGGATATGGACGAAGATGGTTTCTTCGAGGGGGAGCTCCTGGGAGGCCAGCGGGGTCTGGTTCCATCCAACTTCGTCGAACCAGTGAAGGAGAAGGAGCTGCCGGAACTCTTGAAGAGCCACCTGCAGAAACTAAGAAACCGCAGCTTGTCCAACTTGCATTTGAACCAAATCGCGGCAGCCGGGAACTACGGGCTCAATCCGAAAGGTCAGGGATTGTCGCTTTAAATGCATCTATTTTTTTAAAAGTTCGAAATTGTCAAAAACAATGTTAATTTAATTTGTTTGATTGCCGTATATGACTGGAAGATTAAAAACATGTGCTATCAAAATTTTCCAAGTCCACCCCAGTGTTTGCAGAAAAAAATGTTAAATAAAACTTTTTATAGAAAATGTTATAATGTAAGGCTGAGTTATTTTGTTGAGCGAAGCTCTTTTTTGCAACTCAAGTCCGTTTTTTTTTGCGTCTAGAACTTACACGTCGTGCCACTATTGTAGCCGAAATTGGTCAGGCTGTAACAAGACCTGAAGCTAGTGGTCAGATAAGAGCTCGTCCTCACACACTATTATTTGTTCTGGCAGGGGTCCAAACATACGATTCGACGGTCGCATAACTGAGCTTGATTTTATTTAGTCGATTCAGGAGTCCAGGTGCTAGAAGATGATATCTCAGAGTTCCCCAACAGGTCATTGACTTATTCTGCCAAATATGACGTCACGTCGCTCAAAGCTAATCACAGTGCGGCGTGGAACGACCAATCACATTCCAACCATATTCCAGTCAGCCCGAAAAGCCTTCCATCACTCATGAACTCGCATCTAAACCGAAGTCCGACACACTACTCGGCTGCAGGAGGACACCACGACTTGTCGTTAGCCAATCACATTGGAGATGGGCTGGATACGAACTCGCAGAAGTACTCGCCTTCTTTTGCGGGTTCTTCGCCGCGCTCGGTGTCGTCTGTCGGCACGAATGAAGAAAGTCACAAGTCGTTGAGCAATGGACCCTCTCGGCATGTTTCGCCTAGAAGTGTGAGATTCGAATTTCTGCACTACGATTGCTATATAATTGCCACAATTCGATAAAATCACTCGAATGGGAGAAAAAAGAGATATTTGTTTTCATTAAAAAAAAAGAAGCTAGAAGATTTGTTCGGTTTCAATTTTTTTTTTGGCGTTTATGCTTTATTTTATACTAAATAAACGGCCAAAACATTTTTTAAATGTCGCCGATTGTGTTTTAAAACCTTTTAGCATAACTGAAGCTCTTTTATATTTGCCAGGACAAAGCTCATCGTCTCCCCGTAGTGTCATTGGACGACCTTGGGGGTGGGGGTGGACAGGTGAGTCCGCCGGAACGACTTGTGGTGGAGAAGATGCTGCTTAACTCAGTCCTCATCAGCTGGAGTGCGAGCAGTGAACCAGTTAAAAGAGTCGAGTGCTACGAAGTGTGTGTAGACGGCACACGACATCTCACTGTCAGACCATATGCTAAACTCAGGGCACTGTTACACAACATCGATACCCAGGTATCGTGCATGTTACCATGACACTAGTTACTATATTATAACTGGTTGCTAAATGCAATCAATGTCATTTTTCGCATTGTTTTGGAAAATCTCCGTCAAAATTAGTAAAAAGTCTGTCAGAGTAGATCAATATTCCGTCAAAATTACTAAATAGCACCTCATCAAAAAAAATGAATACCCAGTCATAATAACTAAATAACCCGTCACAATAACTAAATAACCCGTCAGAATGACTAAATAGCTCCCCGTCAAAATGAACAAATGAAATAATTTTAACGTTTTTCTAACTAGATTCCACACAAAGTGAGCATACGAACCCTCACAACCAGAGGTTTGGTCAGTAAAGACCAACAGTGCACAATTGTGATAGGAAAGGGCGCCAAAAAGTCTCCCTACGATCTCAAAGCAATCCAAATCCAACCGACGAGTTCCGAAATAGTCTGGTGGCCTTGCAACAGCAACTTCTCCCACGGGTTGACCTTGAATCAGGGACCAGAGGTCAGGATACCAGCTGGTACCTGGATCCATAAGTTAACAGGTCTCACGCCTGCCAGTGTGAACAAAGTGTCTCTGAGGTCAGTTTGGGATGACGTCACGTCGCCACCGATGTCTTCGGATTCGAGTTCGCCTTCTTCTCAAAATAGCACTGTGGCTAAGATCGAGTTCAAAACATTGCCATCAGGTCGGTAGTCTTGAGTTTGGTTCACGATCAGTAAAATTTTTTAAAGAAAATAGTTTATAGCACATTTTTAGATCGAATTTATTCAATCTGATTGTCCTTGAAACAATTTGGTTGTCCTAGAAAAAAGGTTGACAATTTTCTATCATATTTTAAAATCCGCTCTTCCAGAAAATCCCAGATCCACGTCAAAATTTTCTAGAATTTTTTTGTCAACTAAATTAATTATCCGAGCTCTCCCAAAACACAAAACTAAAACCTTACGAATAACATTAACTTTTAAGCGTTATTAGGCCTTTTTGTGGAAAGTTTTGAACAAAAACTTGCGTTTATTTGGCGCGCACTCTTCCTAAAAGTAGTATATATTGGCGCCGAAGGATCTAACCACTTATTCATCAGGATCTAACCAATCAAATGGAGGAGGTTTGTAACCTAACAATGACTGTGTTGGAAACTATGTCGGGTACTATTTGGTTGACTTGATTAGCTGATTAACCAAATTATCATTTTATATATCGGAAAAACGATTGTCAGAATATGTGTTTCAATCTTTGAAAAAAATGCCAAAACCAAGCAACACTCATTATCATTATCAAATTTCCAAACATTCATAGTGGAGATAGCCGAGTAAAAAAGGTTCTAAAATTGGCAATAATGATCTAGGCAAGACTATCTAAACACTAGGCGCCCAGAACTCAGAGAAATGATAGATACACCGGCTTGGTTTTGCGCCTTCATTGCTTACAGATACGATCTTTGGGTTCTTTTTCCCATCAAAGATAAATGCCCTTTCCTTTAATGTCAACTTCTTTGTTTGTAACTAAAATATGTCGTATTTTCATTTCGAAGCTGACTTTCGAACCGAGGCAATATTGTCCGCAAGTTTAATTGGTGCAACCTAGCTACATTTTTTAGTTGGTACTCTACTTCTAAACATTGAAAAACAAAAATGAGCTTTGTCATTTTCCCTGCTGTTGAAATTGAAATATTTGGACGAGGATTGAGGATGAATGAGTAAATGAGAGTGGGGGGAGAAGGTTCTCATTTGGAGCAAGGGGGTAGAATGGTTCATTAACAGTTCATGCTCATTAATCACGTGGTCTAAATTGGGTCAGTTGGTCGCCCCTTCCTGCTGTCACTTTTCCCTGATGGATTCTAACCCACTTTAGCCCGATTGAACATTACGGGTGAAGTATTATGAACACTGCAAATTGTGAAGGGGTAAATTAATCCGCTTTGTGCAGTACAACAAAAAAGCTGAATATGAATGCATGTTATGCGTTATTTACTCCCATATTTGGAAAAATTGATCAAATATGGTTTGCGGCTAAAAAACGCCTCTTTAATTTTAAAAGTCAAAATTGAAAGCCTCCTCATGATGTATTGGTTAATCTGTTAATCTAAGAGTTCAGGGGAAATAACCAGGAAATCATGCGCAAATACACAGTAGCGGACTTAGGGGGAAATTGGCATCTTGACCGCACAAAGGGCTCCTTTGGTTCTATAAGCGACATCCAATTTTAACTGACAAACGCTAAAATGATTTTAGAGCAGTTTTTTACCAAAACCTTCCAAAAAAACTTAAAGGCGTCAAAAGTTTTGGTCTGTTTTTCAAAAGTTTGGCTGCGGCGCAATTTTTTTTCGGAAAAATAGGTTATTCGTAGAGTTTTGAGAGAATCGTACGGTATTGATATTCCAGGTCTTCCCGACTGTCCCTGTGGGGTTCGAGTGATTGTCAGCTCCTCACCTCCGAACACTTTCACAGTGATCTGGGAACCCCCGACATCCCCAGGAGTGAATGGATCTATGGGAATAGGAGAACCAGAGGGCGTGGTAGTGTCAAATGGAGTCTTGGTCACCGGATACAAGGTTGTGAAAGACTCTGGAGAGGTGCTGGCCACAATTCCGGATCCTGCTGCCGACCGGGCAATCTTGACGGTCTCTTCTTTACGAGGTCCATTCAATTTTTTTTCAATTATCACTCAAAAACAGAAGAAATTAACGGAGTTTTGTATCGTTTGGAGTTTATCGCAATAAACAAAACACTAAAAAACACCAGCTGACCCAAAAGTATTGTTTCTATATGAAAAACTGACGTTCACATATTTGCATATTCGAAAAACATTTAAATGAACTTCTCGAAATGAATCGTGCAGTTGCTGTTTTGGGAGGGCATGTTGGACGCTTCTTCTATTCAGTAGCTCGAGAAACACACCACCCAAAACGTCGTGGATAAATATTAAGTTCCCTTGATCACCCGCTAAATTTCTAAGTCTTAAATTTTGAATCGTCTAGTGCATTAATAAGAAGAGCTTGCCTCAATTCAATTTGGAACGTTTTATGAGTGCGGATAGTTTGCCACGCATAAATTTTTCGCGTATTGAAGCAAACTATCAAAGTAATATTCCGGAGTACGCGCCGCACTTTGGTCAAGTGCAAGCATAATCGCTTGGCAATCACAATATTTCCAAATCGATGCCCATATGCAGTCAACTTTTCTAAAACTGTTCTGAATGAAAAAACAAAAGTCGGAACAATATTGCGCGCTAATTGTCCCATATTGGCCACATAGGCAATCTTTAAACCCCCATAATTTTACGAAATATGATCATAATTGATTTTTTGTTATTTTTGAGTCCAAGTGAACAGTACCATTCGAATGATACAAAAAATGTTGTCTAAAATTTCTAGTTAAATGGCCGAAATAGGCTGGAGAAAAAAACCACCCTAAGCACAATTATTCCGTCACTTTCTTACAAAAGTCGATACGAAAGTAACGGAATATTTGTGCTCGAGGTGGGTTTTTTTTCTTCTGACAAATTTCGATTTTTTAACTAGCCATTTTTGACGGTATTTTTTAAAATATCATTCAAAAGGTAATGTAGTCTTGAGCTTAAAAATGAAAAGATATTTCAGCTGTGATTTTTTTTCGCAAAGTTATGGGGGTTTAAAGATTGGCAATTTGCCAATTTAGGACAATAAACGCTCGATATATTTTGCGCTATTAACGCGTAAGCGGAGATTTAATCCGTCTTAGTAATCGTTCCAAATTGGTTGAAAGAAGCTAGTTTGCTATAATTGATTTGTTTCTAGAAGCGAAATTTATCTTTTTGTACTTTAAATGGCGTGTTACAAAATTTTTTCCTTTTTTATTTTACATTTGGTTTTTTCATGTTATTACTGCTTCATAGGCCTTAAAAGGCAGTCGGAACATTCAGGGCTTCACCCTGATACAAGCAGTCTTATTTTTTTTGTTTCAAGTAAGCGTTTGTTCCGGCTTTCGGAGAAAGTAATCGAATATTTGTTCTCCAGATAAGTTTCGGCTGTTTAGTGAGCAATTTTTCACTTTTCATTTGAGGAAACTATTTTATATTATTTGAAAAATATATGTGTTGATATATGAAAAATAATTAGATATTTCACCTGTGTTTATTGATTGAAGAACTCTATGATAAAATGTTCCTTTGTTACAGCTAATTCTACTTATGTACAGATAAAAGTGTGTTTAAAAATGAACTAATTTTAAAGTTAAAACATAAAAAAGTGAAAGAGCATTATATCCGCCGGAGAGAATGAACGTATCAAGGTCATAACTAAGTACCAGTTATGATGGCTAAAAAAACTAATAAAAAATATGATTAAGTTAATGCAATTCACAACACTCTAAGAGTTTGAAATTGTGGCTACTCCAATGAATAAAGTCTGATCGGAGTGTGATGGCAGTCGGAACATTCAGGGCTTTGTCCTGAAAAAAAAACACTCGTTTTTTTACACAACGGAGCATAGTTTCACTTGACACATGCGAAGCATAAAGCATAGTGTTTACTTTTCTCCAACCCAATTCGCAACAATGGTCATTTATTTGGTGGAATTTTTGCAGCAATGCCATTATATCTAGTTTACTTTCGTTGCCTTAGCAATGTATATTTGTATCTAATTTTGTGGTAATTTACGTTTTATGCTTATCTAGTGGTCTAAGTCGGAGTTTCGATTCCGGCAACTATCAAAATTTTTAATTATTTTTCTTTTCTTTCGAAACGGTATTTGAAAAAATTCCTTGTAATTGAGACAAAACGGTCTGATATTTTAATTGAATTTTCAGAAGACTTTAGAATAATTTTACGCCGAATTGATAAATTCTCTGATATTCATAACAATCAGGCCAAAAAAAGATTATCAATTATGGTTCGTTTTTAATTAGGCTCTTTATATGATACAAAATTTAGCATTAACATCCTTCGAAAAAACACCTCAGAAAATCAAAGCAAAAATTTTATTCTAAAAAGTGCACTTTTTTGTTTTTTTTTGCGAGGATACAACTGTGGTAGAAACTTTCTGTTCTTCTTGCACTCCAACTGACTAGACTTGTTTATGTCATAATTTGTAAGAAATATGATTGCAATAAAAATATTTGTATTAAAGGTGCTAAACGAATATCAGTGCGGACAACTTCCTACGGCGGTTCTTCAATCGACTCCAAACCCGCCAAAGTGCCCACTATCCTTTCACCCACTAACAATCACAGCCTTATAAATCCTACCCTCCCCGCGACCGGATTATCTCCTCTCAGAGGTGGCGGTGGGGACCCCTCGTTTATCGGTCCCGGAGGGGGACAACCAAGATTTTCTATTGGAGATATCGAATTGCAACCCCCTGACTACTTAAGTGAGACAAGTGAGATGTCGGAGCTAGCAGACATTTTGGAAGAGGGAGAGTTCAGGTCAAATCTTAGTGCTAATACAGATTCCAAAGTTCAAGGTTACCATGGTCAGCCCAAGTTCAACTTGGAGAGCGTTGGCGTTCCTTCTGTGATGCCGACTGTATACGACTACCAACAGTATCTCAAATCAGTCAGTATATCTTGTTGATCTTATATTATTTATCAGTTTATTATTTTGTGATGCCCCCTAGTGTCGCTTTTTTGACCCCCCCCCCCCCCCCACCCATAATAAATGTCCTAGTGAACCTACTGATATTTTAACACTAAAAAAATAGGATCTGTTTGCCGTAAACGGATATTGAATAGTGTTAAAATAAAAACGCCTCTTTGTGGCGAATAATTGTAAGCCTTGAGTTAAGGCAGGATTTGGTTGATCAATTAATCAAGCTAAATTGGTGAAAAAGTCGACACTTGCTTCGATTATATAACAGGTTTTTTTCATTGATTCAGCCGAGAAGTCACTTGGACAGACCGCGACGCTCTCGTCCGCGTGTTCCGCCGCCGCACAGTCAGCTCGCAGCGAACGATAAGGCATACACTTCAGACTCGGAGCTAACTCAAGTTCGGCCAAGCTACCGAAACTCACAATCACTTCGGTCGCCCGGCTCTGGTTTCCGCGATGACGACATGATAACATACCAGTCGTCGCCTGCTAGACTTCGAGGATCCGGACGGCACCGACTTGACGTTGGGACTCCTCAAGGGGGTGGTCGCTGGAAGCGTGCCCCGGGGTTGTACCCGCAACAACAGCAGCGTTTCCGGTACTTCGTGGCCTTATACAACTACAATCCACTAGTCATGAGTCCTAATAAGGAGTCGGCACATGAAGAAATCGCATTCAGGGAAGCAGATGTAAGACTCATTTTCAGTCTTCTTATAGTGCATTTGTCAAATAATGCTATGAAAAAATAATTTTAAAAAAATGGCAGCAGATTTACGTTAATTTGAGGCCATTTGGCTCGAAATGAAATCTCAAATACGAGTAATTCAGCTCATTACTGAGAGCTGATGTCGTCGTTTTTTGGCTAATTTTTTGGGCTGGGTAATGTTGCTTCACCCTCGAGCAACTAGCATCAACTAGTATCATGGTGAGCCTCGAGCATCTAACCTTTCGATCGAGAGGCAAAGACCGCAACGTGAAAGATATCGTGAAATTAATCGTGAAAGATATCTTGTTTCGCTCTTATAGGTTATCAAAGTGTACGGCGACAAAGACGAGGACGAATTCTACTACGGCGAGACGCGAGATGGGATGAAGGGCTTCGTGCCGAGTAACATGGTGCTCGAACTCGGCTCCAGCTTTGCCGCCACTCACCACTCCTCGGCGTCCGTCGCCACTTCGGATTCTTCTGCAGGTACTTCTGTCTACTCTTTTACATGACATGCTATGTAGCCAATAGAACTTTGAGTTGACACTGACTGGTACTTAAACCCTCTGTCGAACACAACTGCTAGATTTAAAACTCAACAGGGTTTCAATGAACAACCATATAAAAAGAAGTTGAAAAAGTGATTGGATAGTTTTTTTGATTTGATTTTCAAGTTATTAATTTTTCATTCATCTGTATTTCAAATTTTCACCTTGTACTTCATCCGCGTTTTTTATCTTCCCTTGAAACTCCATCTAAATTATTGAATCCAACACTGAGCCATTCAAAACGCACTTTAAGGGCCGAGAAAGTGCCGATAAACATCATAATTACAGGCGTCCATTGTCATAAAGCAGAAATTCCGAAAGCAAGTTTCCATTAATTTCAATCAAATTCTTAGTGTCCAAATTTGTTCGAACTTTGTATCATTTAATTATGATCGTTCGATATAATTTTCTTTTGTTCAATTTTTCTGCGATGAGGGTTCAATCCAAGATAAGAGATTGTTTGTAGGGGTTATTTCTTCGGCTGCAGTCGCTGGTGGCCCCAGACTGAAGGACAAAGCGAGTGTGACGTCACTGAGGAAAATGGTGGCCCTGTTCGACTACGACCCGAGAAAGACTTCTCCCAACCCAGATGCTGAGGTATAGCATTAATCTTAAATTGTGATTATTTTTCCCGGATTTTTATCAGACGACCTCTGATTATCAGCTTCTTCCTACAAAAATAACCTCGTGCAGCTGCAAATTTTTTCTTGTGAAATAGAGCCTCTGATGACAAAAAAATGTTGAATTTTTGCCCAATTTTTTGTAGACAACAAATTTATGATATTAAAACTAAGTGTCCGGTAAAACAAACTGTTCCATAAATAATTGATTGTTTATAGTTCAATCTTAAAAAATTGTTCCAGGACGTCGAGTTAAGTTTCCGAGCTGGCGATTTGATGTTCGCGTTTGGACCCATTGACGAAGACGGATTCTATGTAGTGAGTTAATACTCGTTGTTTTGATGTTTTCTACAGTTTGTTGCCAAGTAAACATCAAGTGTTTCCAGGCCGAATTGCTGAGTGGCGAGAGAGGTTTAGTGCCTTCGAACTTTCTAGAAGAAGCAGATGACGCAAAACACGCTCATAGGAGCCACAGATCGCCTCACCCAGGCGCTCGCAATGGCCAAAGCCATTCCCTACCACCGGTAATATTCTAATTGATTGGTCGGAAAGAATCGATTAAATAAGAAAACTGCAGCTGCTTTTAGCGTAGTGATCATCAGAAAAAAAAATGATTAACTTGAAGTTTTGATGATAAGTTTGAATATTCTCGAAAGTTTTCCTGAGATAAATTCACGGGCAAGTAGTCAGGAAATGGCTCAGGGTTCCACTTAAAATTTTCAATTGAACTAATCCTCTCAGCAATTTCTCCCCTCTTGTACCTAGTAAAGATTTTTATCCTTACTATAGATGAATTTATGGAAAAAAAAACGCAGCAGAATTGACGTTTGAGGGCACATTTTGGAAAGTTTTTTTGGCGCTCAAAATTTTTTTTAAATTGGCGGCAAAGGCGCTTTCTATCAAAAAATTCGGAGAGGGTGTTGTAAAATAATATCAAAAAGGTGTCATTTGGGTGGTCAAGGGGTTAAATCATTGGGAGGAAAAAGGCGTCTTCTTCAAAATTGGCACTGATTTAAACAGTGACAAAGAGTATTATAATTTTGTTCTTAGTGTAAAGTTGCTTTAACTTTTTCTAGCCCAGCAGACCTATTTATAAAGGTAAGCATGACTCATACACAGAAAATCTGCATGCTTTTTGCGAGGGCACCAATTGTTAAACGTTTTACTGCTATTTTGTGTACGTGATAATTGCACGCTGAAAACTGATAGAAGAGTTGGTGAAAATCTAAATTTTCTTAGTTAAGGCTTTGTTCGGCAAAACGCGTAAATTAAATATGTTTTGATTCAAATTCAATTTTCAGACTTTTTATATGGAGTGAACGAGTGAATGTGTGAGTATATTGATATCATAAAACTATAAAACACGGAGGCGGAGCAATATCCAGAATGGTCTAAGAGCAGAAAAATATAAACTTTTATAAGCGAATCGGTAAAAAAGTATTAGAGTTGTCAATATTACCATAGACACGAATAACCGGGTCGAATTGCTCACTTTATGTTTGACTTTCAAAGCCGAGCACATGTCAGTGCTCGACGGAAAAAGAATTGTCGAGAAAGGCGTTTGGGTCGAGCACAAATTCGAAATATACCTCGAGCATGGTCGAGCACGGTCAAGACATACTTCGAGCACGGTCGAAACATACCTCGAGCACGGTCGAAACATACCTCGAGTGCAGTCAAAACATACCTCGAGCACGGTCGAAACTTGAATTGAGCAGATCGAGAAACAATATTTTGTCGGATTTTTTACTTGCAAAACTGAACAGATGCATACAGCAAAATTATCCAGTAAATATGTATTTTTTATCTGCAGTTAGCTAGACCAGCTTATTTGCTGATCATATTCGGGGCTGCCACAAGAAGGCCTACACAAATTTTATGCATAAAGAGTGAATAATTTGATTATGAGTTGTTTAAAATTGAATTTAAAAACAATTTGATGAAATTACTCAATGCATAATTGATTCATTTCCTTGGTATACTGACGATTCCAATCAGTGTTGTCATCAATTTGACCGTATATATCTAAACTTGTCCATTTTTCTGCTTTTAGACGTTTTCTGATCTTAGAGATTTCTACTCATTGACTGGTTACTATAAAACAAGCAATCAGACTTCTCAGCTACTGATAAATCACCTCGTTTTCTGATATCTAAGGTATGAAAGAATCTTAAGAGTTTTAATTATTGGTTTGTTATAACAATTCTTAATACCAAATATCTAGAAAGCTTTGGAATTGGGTATTTTTCCAAGCAAGTTGAAGTTCCGTGAGGAAAAGTGCAAATTATAAAAAAAATTCAAGTTAAAAAAATTCAGGTTTTAAGTTACAAATAGGTTTTTTTTAACTTAAATTTTAACTTTGTTATCATTTTTTTTGAAAATTCGTTTCAAGATGGTAGGTGCGCTTGCACATAAACTGCATGCTCTTTTTGTATTTTTGAGAGTAAAACAAGTGTTTTCTCTCCACTATTAAATAGCAAAAAAGAAAGATCACAATAACGTGAATGAGTTCTAGTATCAAAATTTCGAGTTCCCTGTGGAGTAAACTAACCACCTATTGACCCAGTATTCTCTAAATGGCATAAACTGAAAAAATTATTACCATTATAACCGATGCTTGTAATTCAAAAAGTTTTTTCTTCACTCACAATGGGGAGCCAAAACAAATATCAAACGGTATCTAGTGATATACTAAAGTTAAAATGAAGCAGTTATGACTTGAGCGCCAAAAATTTGAAAAAAATTTAAGTGGTGTAAATGCTAAAAAAAATTGTTCAGAGGTTTGCCATTATCTGACCGGGTGACATTCCCCTGTTTTTTTAAATCGTGTTTTATAGTCCACTTGAGACTCAAGTTTTGAGTTTTATAGTCACAGTGGGTTTTAAGTGTTCTTTATAATCATTGTTCCTGATCGAATTTGTGCACAACTTCTCATTTTTCCTGATATTTCCCCTTTGTTTGGGAGCTCGTCCCTGGGTTTTCCTGGTTGTTTTGGCTCATCTACTCCTTGCTGGTTATTTTTGTGTTCCTCCGATGCATCGTTTTTTCCCGTCTCTGTTGTCTTTTTTGTTTTCTTCTTCGAATTGCGTTTTTTTTTCGCCTGTGACAGTTTTATGTTTCCTGGGTTCATCACTACGAGTACTTCCATTTCCGGGCTGCCTACTGGTCACAGCAGGTCAAAAATGTCTAACTTTTTGTTTCAGAGTTTTAGTTTTATGGCCTCACGAAATTGCATGCATGCTTGGATTTGTGGCGTTCGTTGAAGCCAATATCGGATTTTTTTTCGTTGAGGTCAATTTCGTGTATCAAGCTTTTATAACTTATTTTTCTTCTGGTTTTTCTTGGAGCGACTTGATTTCAAACCGTTTCTTTGCTAGTTCTGTGGTCATTTTCTTGTCAATTATGTACCTGCGACCACAGCGTGCTAGTTTTCCACTTGATTCCACATATTTGTTCGTTTCTTATGGCGGAAAGACAATTTCGAAGTTTTGTTCTGGCATTTTTTGTAGTTCTACCATCGAATGCTCCGTTACGAATATTTTTTTTTGGTTCATTTTGGTTACCTGGTGCAGAGTATCAGACTGATTGCACACAAGCAGTTTCATTTATAGTTTCAAAATATGGCTGTGTCTTTGCTATTGAATTATCCATAACAACAAACAAAAAACAATCAAATCTGAATAATTAGGCTAAATAAACAATTAAAAAGTTTACGAAGTATTGGCTTAAGTAGCAACAAAAAACGATGTTTTTTCGAGTTTTTTTTTCATCTTTTTTTAGTCGGTTGTTTTTGTCCCGTTTGACTGCCGTGTAAAATTTTATATCGCAAGTGGTCCGAAGCTCCGCTTCGTTTCTGTGTGTTAGTAAAACATAATTGTAAATATATAATAATCAAATTTCTTAAAAAAAGCAATGCATTGATCCCATTTTTTTTATTGTTGTCATTTTTTGTAAAGTTAACAAATTCTTAACAGTTCATTAAAGTGCACAAGATTTTTTTGACAACCAGCTTGTTTTTTTGGAAATTTTGTTTGCGTTTTTAGTGAGCCATTTCATTATTTTCATTTGTTTGTTTATATAAGGATATTAACGTCCAATGTAGGACGGGCGACGTTTAATATCAGTCTTAGTTTTCATAAATTGTGCTTTAAAATGATTTTTTCTTGCTGCATTGCAAAAAAAACTTAGTCTGTTTTTTGTGATTTTTTAAAATTAGGTAAAACTTTTTTTAAACGTTAAAATGCTGGTTGGCTATTTATCAAAATAAATTCAATAGGAAAACCGCTTAACTAGCGTTGCAATGTTTTTGTTAAGTGTTCCGGCCATTGAAAATGCTCCGGTTTTCTCTTCGGGTGTGTATTCGTTTCTTATGTTATCCACGAAACAACAGGTACCACAAACAATCGTCGGCATGGATCGAGTGATCTATCATTTAATAGCAATTTCATTCGTGAATTGAACGAAATTAATAAATATATTTATAAATTTTCCTAATTTGGAGAAAAACCCGGGAGAAATCAATCAGTTTTAAGCCCGAGAGATAATTCAAGATAGGCCGTAAAATTTTTCATTTTTTTAATCAATTTTTTGAGGAAAATTGTTGCGGATTAAACCTAAATTACTATTATTATCGAATGTGCTTCAGTTATAGGAGTTTGTTCTCTCAGCCACCTTCTCATCACATCAATAATAAAACACGACACAACGTGAGAACTTTTTTTCTCATTGACGTGGGAACCATCTGTGCTTTTTGCACAACAACCAGCTATCCTTGTTTAATTTAAAAAATTGATCCAAACAGGTAACAAAAAAATTAATTTGACAGTTTTTAAATAATGAAATTGTGTCAATTATGTGGCTGAGTAGTTAATTATTTCATTCATGGCTCGGTATCTCTTTCTAGTAGTCCCGTCTGTTTATTTTTGTTCAACCTTTTTGCGTTTGGTATCATAATTTCCTCAAAATCGCACATATCAACGATACTCTTTTTTCTGGTCAGTTTATCAGGAGCTTAGTAATTTCTTAAAACATAATTTAAAGTATCATAAAATTGTTTAATGTAGTTTCCAGTGGCAGATTTAGGGGGAGGGGGCGGACGCTCCTTCCCCTTAAGGATTTGACCCCCTGCCGACCCAAAGGGTCCCCCTTTGTACTATTTTGAAATATCCATTTTGGACCACCTGAAATTTTTCTTAAACTCAAGTGCCTAAAAACGCTATTGTTGGCCTAAAATGTTGGCCTAAACAGGGTCTTTTTTTAGTGCTTTGGAAGAGCTCGGAAAATCCTTTTGGTCCATCTAAAAAATGGCCGACAAATTTTTTTTTTGAAAATCCACCGTCCCCTCCCCATTCGAGAAAATCCTTGATCCGCCCCTGGTAGCTTCAATGTCTGCAGGGGCGGATCTAGGATTTTCTCGAATGGGGAGGGGACGGTGGATTTTCGAAAAAAAAATTGTCGACCTTTTTTTAGTTGGACCAAATTGATCTTCCGAGCACTCCCAGAACACTATAAGGGCACACATTTGACAACAATTTCTGCGCCGCAGGCAAATTGATAAAAAACAGGTCAAAAATTCCGTTTTTGGACGCTTTAGAAATGGCGCATCTAGAAAAGTTTAAGAGTTGTTCGAAAATGGATTTAATAAAAATAATATCAAAGGGGGACCTTTTGGCTGGCGAGGGGATCAAATCAATGAGGGGCGTCCATTCCAAACCAACCCCTGCCCCTAAATCCACCCCTGAATGTCTGCATTAAATGATGCAGTAAAACCTACTTCTGAAAAGTTTCTGATCATTTTTTTTTTCAATTCAGGTAATTGATCCAAATAGTTCATGTAATTAAGAGAACTAGAATGGTAGCTATAAAAACAAAATGAAGATTCGAGTTAAATTTATAGGATTCAGAGGACCTCCCCCTAGACTATCAAATGGACCCTCAGCTAGACACCCAAATGCCCCCCACCAACACACAGGGACCAGTTTACTCGTACCTGCCAACGGCACCCACCACCGATCCAACTCAAACGACAGATCAACCAATCAGCAGGTCTCGTTTGGGAACCAGTCACCTCAACCGCACCCGCAACATCACCCCGGAAATCAGCAGGGACAATCAAATCCAAAATATACATTTCCAAGAGAATCACGACCAGGAGGAAGTTCAGGCTATGACTCATCAAAATTATCCGACAGCTATCCAACAGGACACCAATTTCAAGATGCGGGGCCAAAACTGGCGACATCATTCTCGCAACCCGGTAGCACCATCGGACCGAACTCGGACATCGCTGGTCGAATCCTTTCACCTCCCCCTGCCCTCCCCACCCGTTCGCCTTTCAGGGGGGCTCCAGGGGGTGCTGGGAACTCCTCTAACCGACGGTGACGAAACCGACGATTTGAACTGCGAGACAAGCGTTTTCTCCGAAGACCCCGCGGCACTGACTAGCGACTGTACAACACCGTGGGAGCTGTAGCGCTCCAAGCACTGTCGGAAAAATTGTTCGAAATCGTCAAAGATGAAGTTAAACACTCAGAAATTTGAACTGGGTTGTTGCGTATGTTTGGTTTGATATATTTTGGAGCTTTGCGATTATTCGTCCAATTTACATCACAAGTTTGAGGGAGTGCGAAAATCATTTCACATCATAATTTAATTTAGTCGAAGTCTCATTAACGGGAGAAACTCATTACTTAATTGTTACTTTAACCGAATTGAATCATAATTTATTTTAACTGTAAGTGCTTAAATTGTAACATTATAAGATTTGTGATTGAGATTATTTATAGTTTTGCAATGGTTGAATTCAGTCTTACTTTCTTTATATTTCAGAAACGGCGCACAGACAATTCGGCCACAGACAATTCAGCCGATTTGAAATTCAGACAATTCAGCCAAAAATATACGAGACAATTCAGCCAATTTAAAATTCAGAAAATTCAGCCTGAGACAATTCAGCCAGTTTTACATAACCTTAGTGAGTTAGGACCGAGTTGGTTAACTCATAGAGTAATTTCGGATAGGGTACACCGTCTGCTCGTCACGCTATCTTATTTTCGGCCGGATAGATTCGTGCAACTTCTTAGTCTAATACCGATCCTAATCTTACTCTTATACTATCTAGTCTCAGGTTGTTTAACTAGTCTCTGCTAGGCTCAATAGATCTAGGGTATACTGGTTTATTGCGGCTGCTGAAGTGCTCGGGAGAGTCCAACTAATTTCTAAGTTAAATTCAAATCTCTCTGGTGCTGAAATTACAAGTAACTTCAGCACTTACAAATAAGTGGGTTGTTAGTTAGATGGATCATGATTGGTTAATATTAAATACTTTACATTGGTAAAATATCTAAATTATCCAATCATAAAATGTAGTTTAGATCAGGTTCCACCCATCCGGGTTTTACAGAATTTTTTAGAATAGTTCTTCTGCAATTCGAAGGATGGATGATGGACGTTGGTGTTTGGCGAACATCATATTTCTTTTGTTTCCTCTTTGTTAAAGAAATTCCAGGAAGCTGGAGTTAGAGACATAAGACGTTGTGTCTTCTAGTGACAACGACTAAGTCTTTGCAACAAACTCAAATCTGATTTCAGAATGGTTTGCTATGTCAGGTTTTTCTGTTCTGCGTGGAGATTGTGCGTGGAGGGGATGCCTGGTTACTCGGATCTGTACGTATACTTGAACATCGAGGTGGTCATTGGTCTAGTTCAATGAAGTCCTTTTCTGCGAAGTCAAGTCGTACTCTAAATCCTTTGAGTTGTGATTGTGAGTGGCATATCGATTGTGGTTGGTCATTCTCTCTCGAGTGTAGTGGGGTCGTTTTGTCTTTAGATGTTCGTCCTTGGTGTTGTATTCTGATCTATGTATTGCATAATGTAATTTACATTTTATAAAACATTTATTAGTTTAATATTTTTTAATTATGATTTTAGTTAGTTGTTTTCACAAAAGCTTTTTGTTTTAGTTCGGTTATTTTGAAGAGTTACTCACACTTGAGTAGCTCTTATTAAAAATAGAGGTGTGGTCACAAAGCGTGGATGTAGCGCGGTGGGTTAGGCCGGCTATAGAGCATGCTCAGGACGTCCTTCCTGGTGGGTTAGGCCAGGAGTGGGAGTATGATTTCATGCCGTTTTTGTGAGGGGTCCTGTTATGTGACAACGTTTTATGTTGGGTTTGTTGTGGTTTTTCTTATGTCTTGTTGGTTATGTCCTTTTTCCAAAAAGCAAATTGTTCGTGGTATGGGTTTGTCTTTCGACTTTTTTGTGTTTTATTATTTCTTTTTTAGACTTTATAATAGTCTTCAAAAGAATAAATTATCCAGTTTTAAACTGGGTTAATCCGGTTTGGGTACCGTTGGTTTCCTTTTCTTAGTCATGCTGTTATTCTATGATTTGTGGTATTTAGTAAGTTGCGTTGGTTAGTTATGTTTAGTATATGATTCCTTTCCAACCAGGTTAAAGGAAGGTTTGAAACATGTTATTATATGTTAGAGTTGTTTAGTGTGAAAACTTGAAACTGAAATTCATTATTTTAAACAATTCTTCGTGGGCGAGCTGTGCGAGTGTGGATAGAATTTCTGTGCGAATGAATGAGAATATCAAAAGGTTAGTACTGCATTTGCTTCTTATTAATTTACTGCATAGAATTTGGAAATTTACTGCTAGTTATGGGGGAATTTTAAGTTACAAATTTTCATCATAATTAGATTTACTGCTTGTGGGGAAAATTTTAGAAATGAATTTACTGCATTGGTATTAAATTTATAAATTTATAAGTGTAAGAGATTAATAGAATTGTTGAAATCTGTTTGATGAAATTTGCGATCTTTATTTGTTTTTTGTGGTTTTTGTAGGTGATCGTCGGATGAAGACTAAAAATCTAAAAAAAACATGGATAAAGAATGGTGAGTTTTTAATATTTTAATTAGTTAGTAATATTCATTTAATTCATACTTACCTGTTAGTCGTCGGGGAAAAAACCGTGGGGGAAGATGTCGTGGATGAGATCGGAATTTGTTAGTAGTTTAGCTAAGATGCGGATGATATTTTTAGTCTGAAGCAGTGGCCAAAGCAATTGAAGTGCCTTAATAGTGGTTAGTTCTTCAGTGCCAACTGCAAACTCATAAGGTGTGTTTTGGATTAGATTATATAATTTGTGATTGAATTTAGTGTTGTGGATGAATTCTAAAACTGGGATTTCTATGGGTTGTACAAACTCGTGCGGGATAAGGAAGGGTCGGGATTCTTCGGCGTTGAAGGTCTTGGTGATGGGACAGAAGATGTACATTTGGGTTATGGGATCATAATTGCGAAGAATACCATGAAGGTTAGTATCTTTAATGCAATATGTGAAATTTAGGAAAAATGGTGAAGTGTATTTGGAATTAATGAATTGAAAGCGATGGTGTGGTTGTCTAGAGGGTGTGTGTAGGTCAAAGTGATTTTGGATGAAGCGGTAATAACTATATGTGTGGGTTTGTTTAGTGCGCAACATAATATCGTGTGAGCAGTGTAAATCTCTTTCGTGTGGTGCAAGGAAATGAAAGGTTAGTGAAAATATTTGGAAGCGTTCTTTAAAACTTTCGTATGCTTGTGTGTCTGTTAGTGCTTCTGAAATAATGTGATCAAACTTTCGGTCGAAGATGTTTAGTGTAAATATATATGGTGTCTTGATGAAAAATTTCTCGGTAATTTGTGGATTAGCGAAGCGATCGTCGTCTAAGAATTGATCTTGGTTAGCTCTGATGATGTTGTGATCATAGTATTCGAGTGTATATTCGTTAGCTCTAGGTGCAGTGTGTGTTTTTAGTGATTTTTTATATCCAACGTAAGTAAATTGTCTAGCGGTTAGTGGTGTAGTGAGTCGATATAGCATGTCCGTATTTCGCTCTATATCAATGTGAGTGTTAGATAAAGGTAAGCAAAGAGGGTTAGTAAAATGATAATATGAGGTCCAAGAGAGAGTGGGCATTAAAACGTATTCATCTACAAAGTTGCGTGTTTCGTTAGTGTCGTGGGGGGTGTTTAAGGTGTATTGTGGGAATGAGGGTAAGGTGATGGCTAAAAATTCTTTTGTGTTAGTATGCTTGGGGTGGTTGATGTATTCACGGGCTGTTCCTGGTTTTGCTGGGAAAGGATGGTTGGGGAACTTTCTTTTAAAAGTGCGGTAAGCTCTATTAGTGTTGAGTGAAGATTAAGTTGATGTGGATGATGGTGCTAATGATTCAGTATAATTTGAAGAGGGTGTAGGGGTAGGGGGGTTGGATGAATTTATTGTGGAGGAGATTTGGTTTATGGTTGGGGTATTAAGGTGGTAGGGTTGTTGTTGAAGGGTAATAAAATTATCTAGCTCTGGGGAGATTCGGGGGGTGTCTGGAGAATGAGATGATTGGTCAGAATGGTATGAGGAGTAGGTTGGGGTAACTTGGGAAGCATAAGAGGGTGTGGGAGTGATTGGGTCAGGGTTATTGGATAATATGGGTTGAAAAGGGGGTTGAGAAAATTTAGAAGAGTTATGAAAATTATTGGATGGGGATGGTTCTGAGTCGGCAAATTCATCGGGGGTTTCAATATTCGGGTTATTGAGTTGTGAGATGGAATATAAAACTGAGATGTGTGAATTAGTGTCGGAATTCATGCCTGATGTTACATTACTAGATGGAAAATCGGGTGGCGGAAAAGCAAAAGGTGGTATTATTGGGATTGGAGAGGTAAGATTGGTTGGGTGGGAATTTGATCGGTGTAGTGATCCAAGTTGGCGGCTCATCGTGGGCTAAAAAAATGATTATTTTGAGACTGAAAAGCGGTGGTATGGGGTTGTTCAATAATTTGTTCATAAGTATTATGGTCTTGTGACTGGTGTGTCATTATATGTTGGATGGGACTTTGTGATGTGGTGAGTTGAAAATTTGGATTATGTGTGATGGCTAAATTTCGAAAATTTCGTGGGGCTAGGGATAGTGGATGGTTATTTGGTAGGGGTGGTAATTGTGGTGCCGTTGGCGTTATGTCTACATTGTTATGTTCTTCGTCGTATGTATTTTGTCGTGTTGCTATTTTTGTGTTATATTCTTTTATTTGTGCGTCTAAAAGAATTTTGTTTATAGATGTAGAAAAGATTCCAAAAAATCCTGCAAAGAGTATGCGTGCTACGCTTGCTTGTCTGTTTACTTGTGTGTGTATAGCACATGTGTTGTAGATTCCTTTTAAAAGTGAGAAAAGAAATCCAATAAAGTTAAACATTGCGTATAAAATAGTCAATTTTTCTAAGATGTAGTAGGGCCATCCTAGAAAATCGAAGATCTCATTTTTGAGTGTAACAAAGCTAAAAATATTAATTGGTGATATATCTTGGGGACGGTATTTTTCACCGTTTAGATATATATAATCTTTAATGTCTTTAAAATATCCGCTATAGTCTTGCGTGTAGATATCGGCAAATCCTGCGGTTTCTGCAAGTTTGCGTAAATTTTGGTCTATTGATTGTCTTTGTATAGTGTCCATTTGTGTTAATAATTCTTGGAATTGTTGTGTTCTAATGTGATGTTGAATATCTGATTTTGAATAGATTCCTATTGATTGTAAGTCTATATTTGGGTTTCGAGCAATAGCGCGAATGCTTTCTGGTGAAAATTTTTTGAGTGATTGCATTAATGTGGGATATGGAGTGAGAAGATAATATTTATTTTCATCAGGGTTTAGTTGTACTACATTGTGGCTGTTTTCTGATCCACATGGGACTGCGGTATCCCAGAAATAGGTTCTTCGTGAAAGTGTATCCACGAAATGTAC